TATATATATATATATATATATATATATATATATATATATATATATATATATATATATATATACACACATAGATAGATAGATAGATAGATAGATATAGATATAGATATAGATATAGATATAGATATATAAAATTATCCTAAAAATGCGAATCCCGGGTATATTCATAATAAAACTAGAAACACGGATCACTGAAAGTAAACATTTATTTAAAACTGAGCTTTCATCAGCGCCTGCTGACATTGTCAAGAGTGTAAGCCAGGAATGGGAGGCACGCTCTTATAGTCTCTGTGAAGCTAGCAGTTTAGCTAACGAGCGCGTTACAGGTCTATTCAGCCCCCGCCCTCCCGCAATCAATTTTATCGATCCTATTTCCGTCGGGCTGGTTGACGTCTGTTTTAAGTTTTGGCACTTTGCCTCTCTCTACTCGCTCCACCTGGCAGGAGAGTCCCGCCGCTCGAGCAACTCTTCTGCATGCGATACTGCCATTTCGGCTGGTCGCTCCTCCATCGTGCTGGCATCGCTGTCCATGTTGGTCAAATGCCCTCTCCTGATGTCCATGGGTCCGGTCTGCCTCCTTGTCACTTCCTGCTGTGCCGATGTATTGGCCAGTGAGAGGTTACGATCCTCTGCCTCCCTGTTCGCGCCAGGGGGAAGTGACCGTTGGTTCATCCATTCAGTCCTCCTGCATGATAATACATACTGGCGCAGTGTCTGGTAAGCTGGCAATAACTCAATATGCCGGTTAACAGAATGTTTAACAGGCGGCCGCCCTTTGTTGTATCATGAGCAATGACTCTGGCCTCTGCAAAATTGAAAGTATGGTTGTGCTCGATGGTGTGAGCCAACGTAAAGAAAAACGATCGCAGGTATGGGCTCACACACACACACGTATGTATGTATGTATCATTCATTTTTAATGTGCGCCAGTGTGTTCACAGGAAAAAAGTGATGATCTTTATGTTATCTTAATTGTAATGATAATATTTTTCTTCTAGTTATAACTCCTTCCTTTTTAAATTAAAGAATGGCAGTTGAAATGGGCCCAAACTTTTACCTATCCCAGTCTTCTAATTTTACAATAATCTCCAAGAGAACTTGAAAGAAAAACATTACTGTAGTGCAGTACTTATCTGCTGATGTTTCTGAACAAATAGGCAGATTTAGCAAATTTTGGATACTTCTGTATTCCAAATCAAAAGGAATCTGCACGATGAGTGCCACTGCTCTTTCATATCCTAATATGAACTTTGGAATATGTTACAGTGTCTTTTTGTTATTTGACAATTCTGGCATATATTTATCCACTGCTTTGATACTGGGTTTTTCTAACTTGTTAAATATCTCCTGCATTTATAGGCCTATATTCATTTACTCAAATATAGATGCTATAAGCAGTGGAATTTGTTTTTTGATAATTCTACATAGAACTTATTCTTTAAGATCTGAAGCCTTTAATGCATTCTTGATCAATATGAAGTCACATACTGCTTTACAGAAAAATTGCAGATAAACTGGACAAGGTTTTAAGTATTAACCTTTTTATTTATGTATTTATTATTTATCATTAAATATTATCAATATTTGGCTTAATTTTCAGATTTTGCTCTTCACCGATTAAAATTGGCAGAAATTTTGTATTATAAAAGCTTGGAAACAATAATGATACAAGAAAAGCGAAGGCTGCCTGGCAAAGACATGTCTGTAAGTTCAGAACTATGGAGAAAAATACATTAGAACACTTTAAAAAAAATCAAACAGGGCTTTATAATTCACTTGTTATTTGCTGTAATAGTTTTCTCATTCTGAAAATAGAATTTGGCTTAAATGTATAATCTTATATAAGGTTTTTTGATGGAGCACATGCTGAGAAGAGCTCATAAGTAAATTTTAGCATTTCTGAAGATGCTAACCTTGTCAATTTTTTGAGAAACAACAATTCTGTAATTGAACCAAAGATCAGTATAAAGTAGCTTGAGCACATGAATCCTTGTTTATATTATTTTTCCTCCAGTTCATTTTCTTCTTTAGATCAGCGGTCCCCAACCTGTATGATGTTAGACATTCCCATAAAATCTAACCTCAGATGATTCCAAAGAATCGATTTGGCATCCCAAATATTTTTAAGAATTTAAAAATAAATGATATAATTTTGTATGATTATAGGTTTCAATTTTTTTTTCTTCTTTCTAGACCATTTTAGAACAAGATATTTTCCATTGCTCTTTGCTTGCATGTTGTTTTGAAATAGTGCTGTTTGCATATCGTTCACCAAGAACGTTTCCCTGGATCATTGATATTCTTAATGTCAAGCCATTCTATTTCTATAAGGTAAGCACAGAAAAAGCATTGATCTTTACACAAGATGACTTCAGCTTTTCCAAGTGGTCAATCAGCAAGCCCTGTTTTGTTTCATTTGTCATTCCATAATAGATAGCAACCAGTTCCAGCTCTTATTGTATGTATCAGTATAATCCACAGTTGATACTGAATTACTTTTACAAAAATGATGTGCAGTATCAACCAGCACCAAAAGAAATTGGCAACTAATAAAAAAAGGCATAACTGGATTATAGACTTGCATTAGAGGTCAGCCTTGTTTAGCTGTCCTGTTGGGGACAACAATTCCTCCACTAAGCAAAGAGGTTGCTGAATGGGAAATCACGTGATCGTGACTGCTTTCATGAGCTGTGGTGGTGCAATAGTTAGAATGCAATATTGCAGGCTAATTCTGCTGACTGCCAGCAGTTCAATCCTAACCCATTCAAGGTTGACTCATCCTTCCATCCTTTTGAGGTTGGTAAAATGAGGACCCAGATTTTTGCGGGCAATATGCTGACACTTAGAGAGTGCTGTAAAGCACAATGAAGCTGTATAAGTCTAAGTGCTATTGCTATTCTGGTTGGAAAGAGACAACACTTCTCAGTTTCACATCTTTGGCCTTTTTTTTTTGCCTTTTAACTCCTCCATTTAGAATATCTGCTTACTGTCTTGCACACATCAAAAGCAATGTGATTGTGGTGTTATGCAAACAACCTACAGTACTCTCTGAAATCTCTTCCTATCTAATCTCTACTATGCAGGGAAGTGGGAAGCAAGCAATATCTGTAGGCAGTTTGTCTGTCCTTTCCTATCACCACCTTCCCCCCTGCTCTGCTCAGGGGGTGCATACTGACTGTAACGGCAATCACATAACTGAGGGATGCTGTGAAGATGACATATGGTTGTAAATTGGCCATAATGTTGCTTTTTCATCACTATGATATCTTTGAATGGTTGCTGAACGAGTGGTCAGTAAACAAGGACTAGTTGTATCTACCTAATTATATTCAGATTAGTTTAATCATAATAACAGTTCTTATTTTACCCTGAGTTCTTATAAAATTGAAGCTGCTTATTTTTCTGGAAAACATTGAAGTGCTTAAGGTATGCAAGAAAATGGTTCTACATAAGGTCTTTTAAAAACTATTCATGGCAAAATAAATATTTTAAACAATCATTTACTGTGAAAAAAAATCAAAGGAATGCATTCATTTGTAAAATGAAACTCACATGAAATATTTTGTGCTCCTACATTGGGATAGATAAAATTTGGATTTGTATTATGTGTATGTGACTAAACTAATGTTTGCATTCAAGGTGATTGAAGTATTGATCCGTTCAGAAGAAGGTCTCTCAAGAGACATGGTAAAACATCTTAACAGCATTGAGGAACAGATACTTGAAAATCTAGCCTGGAGAGAAGACTCTGTACTTTGGGATGCCCTTCAAGTCTCAGAAGATGAGGTTCCTCGCTGTGAAGAAGTATGCTGTCAAGTAAACAATTCATATTTAAAACATGGAAATTACTTAAATCTTTCAAATCTGAAAAACTGAAAATACTGTATGATTAAAAAATGTTAAGATTCCTTGTATTAAAGACACGAGTTATAACAAAATTGTAAAATAGTATGATTTTTGCCTTTTGAAATTGTTACCTTTTCTTCTCCAGGTAATATTTCCAAATAATTTTGAAACAGGAAATGGAGGAAAAGGATTAGGATATCTTCCCATGATGCCAGCATCTCCTATCATGCATCCCAGAGTAAAAGAGGTTCGGACAAATCATGAGGGCAATCATAGACGAGGTAAGTTGAAGTATTATATTTTATATCTAAAAGAACATCTTGCTCAGGTACAGTGATAGAATTAGATCTAATTAAAGTCCAGAAGAAATGTATTTCAGTCTTTCTGAAAACCATGCAACTTAAAGCTTTTTTAGCTCAATTTCATTAGTGTAACGAAACTTGTTTGAATTATCATCTTCATCGAGTTTTCCACTGTGACATACCAAGGCTGTCCACCTGTGTATAGGCAGTAAGGGAAATACTGTTGAAAACAGTGAGACTAACTGCAAGTATGGATGTGGCTGATGCTGCTGATGTATCAGTTAGCTATTTCAGTGCAGCAGTGACAGGGAAAATATATATTTAAGTCAGTTTTGATTCCTAGCAACTGCTCCCTGCAGGTTTGCAGTATTTGGCAGCATTTCAGAAGTGGCTTACTAGGTCTTTCTTCCTAAGGCTGAGAGAAGTGACTTGCCTAAGGTTACCCAGCTGGCTTGTGCCCAAGGTGAGGCTAGAATTCACTTTCCTAGTTTCTAGTCTGATATCTTAACCACTATACCAAACTGTCTCTCAGATCTATCTCAAATATGTTAGGTATGTTTCTGCACATGTATCAATCCAATATGGGCCTCCCTTGTCCAGTCATTGCAAGAAACCCAGTTTTTTTAGCATCAAAACTATACCAATTATACTTTCAAAGGCCCCCCAACAAGTACATACTCAAGATTATTAAAGGAGATGTTCACATTGTTGGGCACGAATTCAAAAACAAATTAAGTCCACTAATTGGGTTTCAAAGAAAACAAAATTTATTGCTAACAAAGAAAAGAAAACAGCGGTTTGCAAAGCGCAGTGGATCTGAGTCAAGACTTCATGCAGGAAGTTCCCAAGCAACGGACCACACGCGAGCCACGTTGAGCAGTCATTTTTATACATCCTATCGCGATGCCCCATTTTCCTTCCCTTTTGGTCCCATTGGAAAGGCCCGCAGAGGTCACAATCTATCAGAAGCGCCTAACTGGAATACATTATCTCTGTCTTTGTCTGCTCAGGTTACCTCGACAGCCGACATACTACCATATATGGGCATGTTGTCATTCAGTAGAAATTCAGAGTTTGTTCTTTGGTTTTGGTGCACTCATCCTGTTTATTTTTAAAACATCCTTTTCCCTTGAACTGTTTCCGTCAACATGCTGTTCTTCTAATATGATTATAGGCCATGAACTGTTAGCAGTGCCCTTCTAGATGGGAGAGACTTGTCTTAAAAGAATTAATGGCCACAATGTGATATCAAAATAAGGACAAAGTAATATCTGAACATTTCAACTTCTCAAGACATTCTATGGCAGACCTTAAAGTGACTTTTTGGAAAAAATGCAATTTGAATAACACAATTGAAGAGATTGCTGGACTCACATCAGAAAATTTCAAGCAATCTTGAAGTCTCCACAAACACAATGAATTTTAACACATTACAGTTATTAATTGATAAGGTACTTGTAATCTTCTCATATGTAGCCTGCTGTTCCCTCCCACCATCCTATATTAAATCCTACATCAGTCTAGTTAGTTCATGATTTGATGAAATAAGTTGCATCTCATGAAAACTCATACCTTTCAATAAAATGTGTTAGAGAAAGTGCAACCAAATTGAAATGACAATAATTGGTATCAGGAAATGGATTCTAAAGCCATATGAAAGGAGGCTGAGTGATAGCCATGATTTTCACTGCCCCCTTGGAGGGGAATTCTAAATGAGTGAATTCTCAAAGAAGAGATCCTTCCGATAATGTCTCTTCATTCCTTATTTTATACAAACTGGGTATACTACATTTTCTAGTAAATTCCTTGGTTTGTAGAGAACTGTAAAATTCAGTTTGGATATAAATGTGACTGCTTATATAAACTGAAAAAATTTCCAGTGGAATATAGTGTTATAATTTATTGTAAAATGAATTTTATTATTATAAGATTACAGAAATATTATGTGACCTTCAGTGTTCTACTTTTGAACATTGTCTAGTTTATATCGTTCTGAATGCAAAAAGATTTTTGTCCCTCTGATTTACTGCATTTTGAAGTAAAGCTTTTTTGTTTTTTTTTAGATTTGCAGCTATTGTCTCCAATCTCCATTCATGACCGTTACAATTCTCCTATGGCAGGAAGTGCTAAAAGAAGGCTTTTTGGAGATGAAAGCCCTCCCACAAAATCTGTAGAAAAAAGATATGCTGAAGGAATAAAACTGAAAACAGACAAGCATATGTCTGTTTCACCTGATGAAATTGCTCTAAGTATGGCACAAACTACAGTAACAAGACAGAAAGTAACAATCCCATTACATGGTAGGTATGAAACAATACAGTTTTTGTTAGACTTTTTAATGGCAAACGGTAATGGTATGAACATTTTTGGAGTGAAATATTTGTCTTAAATAACTGATATAGATATGAAAAAAGAGCAAATTGTTGTTTAATTTAGTGTTACATTTTTTTTATCAGCAGGGATGGGGAAAGCTATTAAATAGCATTTTGTGTGTCTGGTATGCAAATAATTTAGCTTCTTATCTCTGGGCATCCCTGACGAAAGTGTTGGAAATAAAATATGAGCTCATTTGGGTAGCAAAAAGTCTTTCAGGACCTCTAGGTATAATCTTTGTAAAAATATATTGCTTTGGGGGCATCCATGGGGAAATATTGACACTATATTATGCTATGTCATAGGGGACAAATACACATTAATGTAAAGACAAAATACAGTGTTTATTGAGGCAACAATGAGAAACTTCAGCAGGCCCATGAATCACCTATTCCTAAATTATGTTAATCTATTGAAAAAATTAAGGTTGTATTAAGATGTAGAGCCTTCTGTATTGACTTATCATGCATTTTCAGAATGTTTATTTTAACCTAAGAAAGGATATCATAAACAGATCAATAATTTTTGCATGTATCTTAGGCAATATAAATGAGACAGGAAGGATCACACTGATACCAATTGCAGTCAACTTATCTGAAGATTGTAAAGTGGACAGCTATGGACAAGTCCCACTCAGTGCTAATGCTTTAATGACTGTTTGTCCACGTCAGCCTCCTCCAAGCGAACCTTTTCATTCAGCAAACAAGCCAAAGAAAACTGGATCTCTAGCACTTTTTTTCAGAAAGGTAGAATGTATTTGTAAATATGTTTTGTATTAAAATATTCCACCATGACCACTAGCAGAAATCTTTCATAAAAATAATCTAAACATATTAAAATCAGTAAAAGCTATGCAAAGTAGAGTTATTAAAAGTCACAACACACTTTGAAAGCTAACATGAGATGAGTAATATTCTGCTTATAATAGATAACCTCTAGAAAATAAAAATGTTTGTCATAATCCAATAATTTTTATAATCATAATGAGATGAACTCAAATATGAATCCATAGTAGAATATAACTTGTCAAAAAGAACAAAGAATTGTAAAATAAAAAGACATTTGGAAAAGTACATTTGTGCAGATCTTACATATTGATGTTAGAAGCTTATAAACCAAAACAGGGAATTTAAGTGTATGTCTGGATTCAAACTCTTTAGGAAAAAGAAAATACACAAAGCACCAATGTAGTATAACAACTTAAAGATCAGAAATATGTGAGGCAGACCTCTTGCAGAATGGTTATGGAGAGAAACCTAAAATATTTTTATATTTGGAGTATTCTTTCCCTGGTTAAAATTCTCAAAGTGGTGTTGAAATTAGAATAAGAGAGATATCCAACAAGAATACAAGGCAATTCCTATGACTTTCATATAGTTTTCATATCAATGATAAAGAGATGAACTTTTTAAAAACTCTAAAAACTGATCTAATTGAGTTGGTTGTGAAATCAATTTAGGATTAATTTTAAGTGGCACTCATCACTTGATCTGGAATAGATTAGTTTGACTACGGTGCGTTCAGATATAACATATACATACATAACTGAAAATTGCTGAGGAAGTCAAACAGACCTATTGAACTTTAGAATAAGAAATTTGAAAAAAAAGAAGGAGATGGAGGAGAAACAGGATCAATGTTCCAGAATATTTGAGACTTATTTAAAACAATAATCATAAATGCTCATCTGCAAACTAATTGCAAGTCAGAAAATATATAACAAAATAACAGAATTGGAGTTCTTCTAATTCAACTCCTTCTCAAGCAAAACCCTATACTATTTCAGACAAATGATTGTCTTAAAAACCTCCAGTGTTAGAGCACCCACAACTTCTCAGTGCAAGTCGTACCACTGATTAATTGTTCTAATTGAACAATATTGTTCAGTGATATCTTAATATAACTGATGATGATGTCATGATTAACAAGCAAAAGCAAGAAAGCTATTAAAGGTGACCAGAAAAATAGAAGGCAAAAAAAGAATACAAGCTTGCATCCTCAAAGAGCAGAAAAAATAAAAACAGTAAGGGAACAAAAGGCAAACACCTGCATGCACAGATATCTGCTTGGCTAATCTGTTCTGCCTTAATTGGTAAGAAATAGGAAAGAAAAAAATTGATGAAAAAATATGTCATTTAATAAAGATAAGACCCAATAAATGCCATATTTCTCTGGTAACTTTAGGAGTAATCTGATAGTTGCTATTTATATAGAGTTTCTAAAAGCTTGACAGAATTCCTATTTAAAGGCTCTTGAGTTTTAGTTTTCAAGATAAAAAATGATTACTATGTCTGCATTTGCGTGACTTTACACATGAGCAAAACCTGCCTTTATCTTATTTATTCAATAAAAAGACATGGGTAAAGGAGGCACCTCTCCAGGTGCTTTGCCATGTTATACACAATCAACCAGCCATTTGAGTACATGGCCAACATTTCAAGAAAAGTATAAATATCTGCGTAGCGATTAGTGGCTAGGGACAGTGGCTAAAGAAGGGGGAAAATGAGTTATTGAAAATTCTTCCTTGTGATTTTTTTGTTTTATTTTTTTCAGTTTTGTTTCAGTATTCTTTTTTTTTTACATTTTATGTTCTATACTAGCAATTTGAACAATGTTAAGTAACTATAATGTATATAATAAAATCTCATGTTAAAAAGAGTCTGGATCCAGTCATTATTCAAAGTATGCCTGAAAATAATTAAATTGCACAGTAATTTTCAGCATTATATTCATAAGCTTGCAAAAATTTTAAATTAGCAGCATATACCACTACTAATTTTTCAGAAGGGATTCAAATTCCTGAAAACAAACAAAACAAAAAAACCTTAGTGTGGCATTTCCTCTTAGGTATACAATTTGGCAAGTGTTCGATTACGTGATCTATGCTCAAAACTGGATGTTTCCAATGATTTACGAGGGAAGATATGGACTTGTTTTGAATTCACTTTAGTCCACTGTACAGATCTAATGAAAGATCGACACTTAGACCAGCTTCTTCTCTGTGCTTTTTATATCATGGCAAAGGTAAGAGAGCCTTCAAAATGTAATTTTTTAATGTTCTGAAATGAACTTTATAATACCTTATTTTAATAAATTGCTTAAAGAACAAATGTTCTTAAAATGTTTTTCATATTCCTAGGTTCTTTTTTTCCAGGTACTCTTAAGTTTTTTCTTTTGGCCAACTGAGCAGGATACTGTTACAATAGGTAGTAGGCTGTTTTCCATTATTACAACAGCATAGATTTTGCATAGTTATATGCAAAAAAGAGTTATGCTTTGAAAATAAATTGGAAAAGGTACTTCAAAGTAGGAGCGCAAATATCGCTCCTTTGTCAACTTTGTGCAATAAAGTCTTTTCTGAAGATAATGTAGCAACTGCAGTGATCCCTAAAGAAGATACCATTGCTTTAGAGGAGGGGGGTCAAATTCGCAACGTCACGTGATGTGTCACGATGTATCGCACCTTTTTTCCCATTGCCGGCAATAGGGTGGGCGTGGGTTCGGCATGACACATCTAGCCTGCGGGCCGGCAGTTTGATACCCCTGCTTTAGAGCTATATTTGGGTTCTTGCAAGCTCTGAAATATTTTTCACTTTTTTTCTGAAGTTCTGCATAGCCTCATTAAATAGAAATTTGATAGATGCCCTTGCATTTTGTACATAACCAGTCCCTTCCTATAATATACTTTTAACTGCAAGTACATGTTAAATAAAAGTACTACTACTTTTTGTTATCATACAGCTGTTCCTAACAACCTCATTTCAGTTTATATCTAATGTGTCTGTGACTGTTTGAATCAATCTGTAATTTCCATCCTATATGAGCTTTTTAAATTCCAAATTATGTGATTTGTGGAAAATGAATATGAAAAACATTATGAGAAGAAAAAAGCATCTTCTCTAATTTGTTAGAAGTGAGAAACTATGCGAGCAGTTGCTAAGCAAAAAAGACAAAGAATTCCTTTAAATACTTCAATTTTGTTAGGTGTGAATCCCTATGATATTTGAGGTCAAAATCTTTAGCAAAAATTCAAAAAGGAGAATAGAGAATAGAGGGTTTTTTCTAGTTGTGGTTATATCAAATGATTCTTCATTGAAAATGCTGTAGAAAGCTATTTTAGGTTTATGTACAGGAACCTTTTCTTTTTAATCAGTTACAACTGTTTCTTGTTCAGGTGTCCAAAGAAGAAAGAACTTTTCAGGACATAATGAAATGTTATAGAAATCAGCCACAAGCTAATAGCTATGTAAGTATATTTCAGCATATCTATAAATATTTTGCTTTTGTTATTCAAATACTATCTGCAGATTTAAGAATAATTCCAATCATGCTCCCTCAGATTACAAAATCTTGCTGTCTCTTGTTCTCTAGGTATATAGAAGTGTCTTACTGAAAAAAGTACAAGCTGATGTAATAGATGTAAAACATGAAAGTATATCAAATGAAGGTAAAAGGGTGGTGATTATGCTATACTATTTTAAGTTTAAATGTATACTTGACAATAGGATGCTCTTGAATGTTGCCTGATTATTCAAAATTAGATGGAAGCCATTTTCTTTTTAAATATCTCTATAGGTTTGAAAATACTATTTAATCTAAATTCTTTCCCTATAATCTTAAATTAAAACATTCTAACATATTTAAAGGCTGACTGTTACATAAAGGAGAGAATAGGAACAACCAGAGTAATATTCATGTTATCATACAAACAAGAAAATGTAGTTGAAAATTTAACCTGTAGGTTTAACAAATATGATCAAGATATTTGCTTTGTGACCTCCATTTTCTGATCAAGTAAAGCATTTTAGTTCATGATATAGGCAGTGACTAGGATTTTATAGATCACAGACCCAGAAATAGAATTAAATCTATTCTAAGAAGCATGTGGTTTCTTCAATATTTTTCCCAACATAAATGTACTTACTCAGAAGGATGTCTATCTTCAATAGGGCTTACTCTCTTAATTAATTCATGACATGACATTTAGCCATGGTTTCTTGCTGGGTTTTTTTCATATAGTGTATATACAGAAATCCAAATGAATGTGTTGTGCTATTTTGTTGCTAACAAAACCATAAGTGATACTGACAGTGGTAGGTAGAGGACCTGGTCTGTATTCAACACATAGTGATCTGATTATATCATGTATGTGGACTAGTTCAACTCATATTTATTACAAAACCATTTAGACTAGAATCCTATATATATGCATATAGGACTGACTTACATTCCTCTCATTGTGACTTGCTTCCAAATAAAGCATCTAACTGTGTTGTTTGCTTTCCTTAATTCTGCGGTTTGGGAAAGTGGTGGAAAGCCTTTGTGGTAAAGACAACATATTTTTTGCTTCACTTTTTAAATTTAAAAGCTTATTATATTTATCTTGTCTTCTCTCTTCCTTTCAAAGGTGTCTGTGGGAACGATTATAGAGATTTGGAAAAAGAAGAGAGAGGGGATCTTATAAAGTTTTACAACACTATTTATGTTAAAAAAGTGATAAACTTTGTATTGAAATATGTTTCCAACCATGATTATATGGTATGTGAATCTCAAATTTCCAGATGGGTTCATATAGTTTGATTATTGTTTTTTTTACGCTTATCTTAGATACTAAGAGAGATGGATTGCTTCTAACAATATACACATGTTCACTAAGGTTATAATTGTTGACCAGATTCCCAGCTTATATGATTAAGCAAAGCTGGTCATCTAAGTAATAGTCTTCAGCTAGAGAGTATTCTCCCACAGAGGGCAACTTTTACCTTTCCAAGCTCTGGCAAAAGCCACTTTATTCTCCCTATCCTTTTCATTTCCTTTATTTTTGCATGATTGAATAGTGTGACAATTTATTTAATACAAATTATAAATTAATACCAGGTTGCATTTGATGTGAGGCAAAATTCAATTAGTGCAAAGCTAATTGAACACACAGTTGAGGCTAGCACATTTGAAGTTAAAGTTAGTGCATATACAGTAGTTACTGTTAAGGTTTTAGACACTAGTGTTGTGTCTGCAAAATGAAGGAAATGGAGAAAAGGAAGCTCATTTTGAACACCCAAAACAGAATACAGTAGGTATGCTGTGGATTTATTTTTTAATGTTGTACAGTAATAATTGAAAAGCACATTACTTTTATGTTTTAAAATATTAATTGCCTATTTCCATTAAGCTGGAAACAATTATCCTATTTTCCATAGGAATATCTCTTCAACAAATTGAAGGATTCATTAACTCTACTACGGTAATTGCCCTACTTAGAGTTCTAAGTTGTTAAACTTATTATTTATCAGAATCTCGTAGTGTGTATGAATTTAGAACAAAGCAAATGAAAGATGTTCAAAGATAATATATAAGGATGGATTAGCTAAAATTTTCTAAAAATTAATCACATTTAATTAATTAAATTTCTATACCATTTTTTCATTCAGGAGCAGATGGCAGCATATATAGTGCTCCCTCCTAACCCTATTAGCATGGTTAGGCTGAAAGAGAGTGATTGACCCAGTGAGCTTCAGCAGCAGACGATGTCCAGAGTTTAGGTCCCCCTATTCCTAGCTCAATAACTTAATTATTACATTATCTTTCTAATCCTTTAAACATTTTTTGTAACCAAGAGAGACCTATCTTATAATGTACTTCAAAACATAACATTTCTATCTACTATCATTTGAATAATTGCAAATTGCTTTCATATATTATAGAGGCTAATTTCCAATAATTTTAAAAGTATTTTTGAAAAATCATTCAGTCATCTTGTTCTAATATTTAAGAATCCATAATTCTTTTTATTTTAATTACTGTAACATAGCATATTTTTAATCATTATGGAATAGTAATTGCAAGCATGAGTGGGGAAAATAGGCCTGAAATTCTTCTTCAGTTATGAAGCCCACTGAGTGACTTTGGACCATCACTGTTACCAACCTATTTCCTGGGGTTGTTACAAGTATTACATTTACAGCAGGCATGGCAAACTCGTGACGTCACGTGACGTCGCGCAACGTATTGGGCTGGTTTTGCCATTGCTGGCAATGGGGTGGATGCGGCTTCCATGTGATGCGTCTGGCCCGTGGGCCGGCAGTTTGACACCCCTGATTTACAGGAAGAATATGTCATGCTTTGATCTCTTGAAAGAAAGGCAAGATATAAATGCAATTCATAAGTTAAAAATAACTGTATTTCATAGATAATTTTCTTTTCACATGCTATGTTTTAAATGTATATATTTTAATGGGAGCTTAAAATCTCTGAAAAATATACTATGCTTGTGCATTATGAGTTAAAACCTCAGTAACAAACACTGGAGTTCAGCTGAACTATCTGATGTTGATTTTGCTTTATTTTTTGTAAATAATGGCTACAGCTTCTAGAAATCTTAAGTGAAGAAAAAAGAGCTGCCAGCTAGTTGGGGTATAAAATAACTTGGGTAAATAAATTATTGTCATTTTTTTGAGCTTCAGTTAGGTGAGAGGTTAACTGAGAGAACACATGGATACAAAATACAAACAAATATCACCAACACCGTATTTCAGAAGCAAACAAAAACCCCTATTGTGCAAGCCTTTGTATTGATTCTAGTTATCTAAATAAGTTTGTTAAAGACAACTTTATTACACACAGCTAGTACTATGGGGGAAAAAAATCCTGAAATATTGCCCTACATCTTGTAACGTCTGGATGCCAAAAGGAATAAAAGCAATAATTTTAAAAGAGCAGCTCTCAGATGCAAAAGAGTACCAATTCTGAGTTAACGCACATTAATTCAAATTATAATAGAAAAGTATCTAAGTGTAATCTTTTTTCTCCCAAGGTGGAAGCACCTCCGCTTTCCCCCTTCCCCAGCATTAAACAGCTACCAGTATCTCCTCGGCGAATTTCTCAGCAACATTCTCTTTATGTTTCACCACACAAGAATGGTTCTTGCCTGACACCTAAGAGTGCATTGTTATATAAATTTAATGGGAGCCCTTCTAAGGTAAGATATACGTTTCTAACAATTAAGAGTTAAAAACATAATCCATAAATGTTGATTTCAGTGTAGTCTTTCTGGTCTTTTTTAAAGGTAGATAGAAATATGATAAAGGTTAAATATTAAGCTGAAAATTTGAAAGTGACTCAGCTGCTACCTCAGTCTCAGCTTGTGCTTCAGTAACATGCATTGACATGAACAATGGGGAGGATGGATGGGAGGGGTTGCTTGGGAAAGCGAAAGTGACTGCTGCTTGGGGAGAGGAATTGCTGTATCTCCCCCCCCCCACATCTCCCCAGAAGGCTGTTTCAAGGTCACCCAGCTGGGAGAAGAAAGCAGCTGCGTACCAACCTATGCTTAGAGTGACCATTCTCAAAACATTTTGCTTGAACTGATTAGGGGTGGGGGCAGAGATGGAAGGCAGCTAAGAGAGGGAAAAGTTGAACTTATGAATTTTGGTGTGTGATTGTAATGCACTGGCTTCTAATAAAACTATATCTTTCTCAAGCCAAAGATCGTTTCTGTTTAGAGGTTTAAGTTGCAGCAGGTCTGGCAGTGACAAAAATTAGGCTATTATATAAAAATATTAACTGCAATATACAAATGTATTTTGAAAAATCAAAACCTAATAAAACATTAAGCTCTTTTAACTGAAATTTAGTATTATTTTTGACTGTGATGTTTTCAATTTGACAGAGTTTGAAGGAAATTAACAATATGATTAAACAAGAAGGACAGAGACCTAAGAAGAGAGCAATATCAATTGATAGTGACACAGAATCACCAGCTAAGAGACTTTGTCAGGAGAACGATGATGTTTTGCTTAAACGTCTTCAAGATGTTGTCAGTGAAAGAGCAAACCATTAAATCAGCAAAGATGCTGTGAGCACCAAAGTTTTCTTGTGACTCAATTTTCTGTCCTTCCTAACGTTTTTTATGTTTTGTAGCTAGACGGTTATCAATCAATGTATTAGAATTTTAGGATGCTCCATTATAGAAACAAAATTTATAGCAGTTATGAATTTATGTCATTATTTTGAAGGTTTTGATTAGATCTATATTTAGTAATGCATTTTAATGTAACAAAGGTTATTGGAATTATGTGAAAGTAGGAGCTTGTAAGAAAATCTTGATTTTAACATGGCTTTCTCAACATTTACAATGCCTATTATTTCCTGGCATAGTAATTTGGGTTTATGGTTCACTTCAAAATATTTTGGTATTATTGTTTAAAAGAATATTAGGATCTATGCATTATTTTAATACAAAATAAGATAAGATACAGTTAGTCATTAATACAGTAAAATACGGTGTTTAGAATAGAGATATTTCTCCTGTTTGATAAATGCTTTGAATAAGCTGTTCTGTAAAGCAGGGGTCCCTATCCCCAGGTGACGCCCTGTTTGGAACCGGGCCATGCAAACGTCAGGCGAACGTGTGAGCATGTGCAGCTCCGTTTGCGCGAGCGGCAGGCACATGTGCCCACTGCTTGTCCAAATGGAGCTTCACATGCTCTCCCACTGCTTGCGTGAAACCATCCCCTTTCCCCACCCTGCCGCCATCTTTGCCGGTGGTCCGCAAAGCCAGAAAGATTGGGGACCGCTGCTGTAAAGCACTGAAGTCTTAGCTCCTAATAGAATGGCAGTCTTTGTACAGGATAAGCTGGAGTAGGATTTGAGGTAATTGATTTTAGTTTTGCTACCTAGGACAATTGTGTGAAAATATACCTTCATTATAGCCTATGTTGGTTTACTTTATTCTAAGTTAATTTCCTAAAGGCGATACTGAGCCCTCTGTTGAATAAATGGATGCACTCCTTGTCTATATACTGTATAGAGTTTAAGAGAGCTGCTTCTGCACTATAGCTGCCTATGCACTGTATAACATTTGTAAAAAGCATGTTACTCATACCATTTATAATTAATATGGTTTCTCACAGGGAAAACCTGTCTATATAATACATTATAGTTGCTTAGCTAAGACGCAGTTGTGTCTGACTGTGGCATCTCAAGTGTTCCTCCCCCCCCACCCAGAAGGCTGAAGCATTGTCTAAGTATCTTCCTCTGCTCTTAAAATGGAAAAATATTTCTGCTGTATCAAAGAGATAAAAAAGCATCATGTTGCTGTGTTTATCTTACCATTGGCTAGGTTTAAAAAAGATTTTCCAGCATTTGTTGAGAAGCAGAAAAAAACCCTATAAACTTATGAATTTTTTTTTCTCCCTTCATCCCCAAAAAACCTAGCAAATACTGAAGATGATTTCCTAGGAAAATACTTTTTCTATTCATTATCAAAAGTTTTGATAAGTCAAGGAAAATTATGGCTCAATATCTTAAGGTACTCCAGCCTTCTCTAATAAACTACTTGATAGCTCTAAACAGAGTCAACCACCTGCTAAGCAGCTGTAAATTTTAATATTCTTTTAAAATAAATTTTTCAACCTGAAAAGCTTATTTTCCTTTGTGTAGTATCTACACAAAATGTAAGCCTTATCAAATTAAATGTATGCATAAGATCAATATGAAATATTATAAGATTTTAACTGTAGTGTTTCGTTTGGCTACATTTTTTTAAAAAAATGCTGAATATTTTTATAAAAAGGGAAATTCATTAGAAATATTTTATGAAAATTAGAAAGAAGTTCATCATAACTGTAAAGGATCATTCTCACTTCAAATATATTAAAAGTCAGAACCATAAAATATTTTATATTTCTCATTCATATATAGAAAGGTTTAAATTTTACTTTTGTAACAATTTAATCAGTTCTAAAGGATTTTTATAGTTAATTAGTACTCCATAGTATAATGCATTGAGATCTGTCATTTAATAAACCACAAAGCCAAATAATATGCTAAAAATGTTTTACAATAGACATAAATATATTTATAAAAGATGTATTTTTCCTTTGGGGAGGAAAAGTGTTTTACCTTTTGAAATATTGGCTTGTTATCACAGAATGTGGCATAAAACTATACTCAGAGTACAGTTGTTTCAATTATATGCAGTTGATTCTTTATGTTTCTTTTCCAGTCAATCAATCTTTATGTCTTACTTTTCTCTCAATGATATAAATACATTCAAGGCAGGGGAGGTGACTATCTTGGGATCTTCAAAGAAAAAAGTGTTCTTCCAGACCTTTAGCTTTTTAGAAAAAGAAAAAGAAAAAAAAAGAAAACTGAACAATGAGTTCTGATAGGATTTAATGCATGCCAATAGAGGTAGCTGGAGATATTAGATCAGTAGACAGAAGCAGTCTGTGAGCAGACATAGCAGCTGCCTCCACTAACTCTTGAGACTACCTAGTGGCAGCAAAGAGATAACAGAAATCCCTAATTTATGAATGCCATTTAGTGGTTGTCTGATTTTTAGTCCTGTTCTAGCAGTACAGCTCCACTCCTAATAGAGTAGTCCAGTCTACCACTGATATACAACCCCAGACATCAGAATAGGTCTCCCCCTTCAAATGTAGCCATGTTGATGACTAATGTTTGGATGGAGGCCTCAATCTCCAAGAGGTTTGCCTTACTACCCATGGAACTCTAATTATAGCCTTGCTTGCTTTATTTATTTGTCCAGTATTCTCAGGTCTGACATTAAAAGTTTGGTGCTGAAATTTGGCTTAATTATACATTAATAATTTATATTAATTGGGGTTTTATATTAATTATAATTTTTGTATTAATTACAGGTTGACTATGATATATGACTGATGTTCCTGATTAAAAATTGGGTTTATTTTCTTGAACTTAACCCTTTGGATCTATCCCTGTAAATAGACATCTTAATTAAAAAAACTTTATTCTGATCTGATTTGGACTGTTTTGTTATCTTGAACCATATGGAAAGTATATATTTGAATTACAGTGCTCAATGAATGTTTAGTAAAAATGAGGAAATTAGTATACAAGGGAAGTATTTATGATACTCCCTATCTTGTGTAGTAGCACTGATCTCTGTAGTATCATAAATCTGAGTAACTCTAGAAATGAATGCTCACCGAGACCTAAATCAGGATCTTCCCATCAGACATCTTAGTTTATTCAGAGTATAGATGCATTTGGTAAGTTTATAATGAGGACAAACAATTAAGCATTCTGTGTATTTAAACGGGAAATTTATCAATGCAATTATGCTTACAGAATCACTAAAATGATCCATTCCACTTAAATGTTTCAAGAAAATGTGTGAGCTATGTTTTCAGAGGAACGAATTACTCTTTTTCCTTTGAAAAAATTCTTCTTGTTCTTTTTCTTTTGAAAAAATTCTTCCAGTTACCAAAAGTGTTCCACCTATGGCTTTTGAAATAACAAAGCAAATGCTGAGGCACGTTATCATTTCGAAGGAAATCACTAAAACAGGGAATAAGTGGGGGAATGTGGATAATGACCCTTTCTTTCTTGCATGTTGTTGCCTTTTTAAAAAACTTTTAGACATTATTTGGATTCCTCCCCCAATCCCCCCTCACCTGGCTATGTTTGCTATAAATAAGTGTTATAGTTTCCTATGATTTTGAACACAAATATAAACCCTAAAATAGACTTACCACAAACAAGGTCAGTCACTGACTTCTCTCACATGTACAGACATTCACACATCTTTGTCCCATGTGCTTGATACAGCCTCACCTGATGTGACGGAAATGTGGTCTGGATTCTTAGTTGGGAAGCCAAACTACATTCCATCACACCTATTTGCATCACTACTCCACCAACTTCCAAATGGGGCACACGGCATGCCCTATCTGCCAGCGCAACCATACCACTTGCATTGGCAGAAGGGGCAAGGAATTTCAGCTGGTAGGGTCCAGGAAAAGAACCTTTTCTGCTGCAGCACCCACCCTCTGGAACATCATACCACTCTTTAGGTGAGATCTGACCCCACCCTTTCAACCTTCTGTAAATGCCTCAAAACCTTACTCTGCTGATAGTCCTGGGACCCAATTGGGAGTGTCCCATTCTGGAGGTGATTACTGGATTAGAAAATTAGAAGATTCCACCTTCACTCTATTGTATAGACAGTGTGCATAAATAATAAAAGATGACAACAATGGTGATAGAAGCTTTTGTAATCCCAGAAAGCTGGTTTGCCCAGTTTGTAATGCCCAATGAAAACACTCTGAGGTGGAGATTACAAAATATTTTATTCTGTGCAGAAAAGGGACACAGAGATCACTCCAGTAGGGTGGTGCAAAGGCCACTTCCTTAACAGTACAGTTTTTATAGTTAACTTCTCCATAAGCTCACCTTAAGTCAAGCCCTTTTAGGTAACTGTCCACATTACCTGAGTTCAGCCAATATTGCTTGGTAACATCAGCATTATCTAGTAGCAATCGGTATATTTGTCCCTAATTTCTAGTAACAATTAGTACATTATACAAGTTCCTCTTTTCCCAAGCTAGTAGCAATCGGCATATTTGTCCCTAATTTCTAGTAACAATTAGTACATTATACAAGTTCCTCTTTTCCCAAGCTGTTGCCTTGTCCAATGATATGTCTGAGGTTTCACTTGAGCAAGCTTTTGTAAGCATTCTTGACCATCTTTTCACACTAGCAGATTACTAAGTATCAAGGCCTATATGCTTCTAAGTTTTAGATTTCTAATATAAAGATATTAGGGGAGGGGGATTTTAGCCTTTCCATCACTTTAAGAAACATACAACTATAGAAATAATAAAACCAAGTATTTCAAGCAACAATTGATCATGGAGTAGCTTGCCAACAAAATATTTGCCCTTTAAAACAGCAAATTTAACGCGATCTAAAACTACAATACCAATCTGTCTTGAATGTGTTTTTTTTCATCCTGTCTCTTGCTTTACTTTTTCCTGAGGAAGGATTCTTAAAAACCTCAGTATTTGCACAAGTATTTTGCAATTTACTCTTTGTCTATATTCCAGATATTACCTCAGGGGAGGAAGGGATTTTTTAAAAAAAGTACTGTAAAATGCCCTGAAATCGTAATAGTTAACCTAGAAACCTGATGACTAGTCCTGCCAAAGCCAGCTGGGTGATTTTGGACCAGTCACTCTCAGTTCTAGGAGGCAGGCAATGGCAAACCACTTCTTACATCTTGCCAAGAAAACTGCAGGGTTACCAGGAGTCAACACTGACTCCGAGGCTCACAACTCATGTCTGAAAAGGGGGGGGGGGGGTTTGAGACATTTTGTGCTTGGAGAAGAAATGCAGAGAAGCACATCAGGAGATTTGGGGATGTGAGATTACAACATGGAATTACATAGCCCAGGGGTAGGCAACCTTGGCTCTTTTATGACTCGTGGACTCCAACTCCCAGAATTCCTGAGCCAGCCGAGCTGGCTCAGGAATTCTGGGAGTTGAAGTCCACGAGTCATAAAAGAGCCAAGGTTGCCTACCCCTGAGTCATAGCCTATCTGTCTTTAGATATTAAATTTGTAACTACTTCAGTGTGTATTTTTCAAAGAAGGATTACTGCCTTTTTATTTGAAAACACGGAACAGATAACAAGCAGGCCGATTTAGACCTCAGAACCTGGGTAAAAATATCCCTTGTCCTGACCATCCTGGATACAGCCATCAGCTTTGGACTGCTCATTTCTCAAAGGGGGCGGAGGAGCCAGAAATAGTAAAGTGGGGGGGACGAGTGGACATGGGTGACGCTTTCCATCGGCGGGCCGTGGTATCAAGGCCGGCTCTTATTCCCACGCGTCTCCAGCTCTGTTAACGTGGCAGGGTAAGCGCAGCGGGGCCGAGGCGCGCAAAAATTTCCCCGCACGGTCGCCCCTCCCGAGAAGCCAGCAGCAGTCACGTGGCTCCCTCCCTCCGCGGACTCGCTGGTGGCAACGTGAGGTGGCAGCGGGGGGCGGGTCCGGAGCCCGCGCGAGCGAAGGGAAGCCGCTGCTCGCGCTTTTCCTCACCAGAGCGGCGGAGCGATGTCGAACGATAGCCGGGAAGGGGCCCTTAAACGGGCCCGGCCCACCAGCCCGGCCGATGGCTTCCAGACGCCTCAAAAGCGCGGCGTTACCGCTGCAGGCTCGGCGGATTCTGCTAAGCTCCATCTTCGGTTCTGGGAGACGGAGCAGCTGTGCGTCTTCCTTCAGGAACGGGGCTTCGAAGCTGCGGAGCTGCAGTGCTTTCGAGGTGCGCGGGAAAGCCGGCAAATGTAACTGCGGGTCGGGTCGCGGGGAAGGTTTATTGAGGAGCCGCCATCTAGTGTTGCTGTGGGCGTTTGCCCGACATTTGAATCTTGCCGAAAGAGAGACTAGACTCGGAAAGGTTTTTGTTTCGAAGATTTTCTTGCACCGTTTGGTGCAGGGCGCTCCAAAAGTGATGCCCGTCGTCACCAGTAAATATGGGACAGGCTCTTTTTCTACTGTAGGAAAAAAAATATATCTCGAAATCCAAAGGGATTTCCTCGACATGCTCCTAGCCACGGTATACCTATAGGCTGGCAGCATCCTTTTCCTGCCGTGTTTGGCTTCGTCTGGTCTTCAGCCGCGAATGAGACGTCTTGAATCATCCTTAGTTGTGCAGCTGTTAAGTGTTGTCTCCGCTATGCCAATTCAAAGGCAGCCTCAGCATATTTAAACTCTGCTGCCGGTAGGATTTGTCTCCCTCTTATTCCCACGTGGTGGTGGTAGGAATGGGATTGAGAATGGAAGAACAAATTCCGTAGCAATATAGCTGCATGGCTGGATGTTTGGGTAGCACTTTATATCAATAGTAGGAAATGATCCAGATTTTATTTTTTTTTAGTCTATGGCAGGGGCAGGCAACCTTGGCTCTTTTATGACTCGTGTTGTTGTGGTTAGTGTTTGATGTTGAAAAGACCATCCAATTGCCTTTTTTAAAAAGAGGACTAGCTGATCTAACAGGTCGTCTCCGAAAAGACCACCCAATTGCCTTTTTTTAAAGAGGACTAGCTGATCTAACAGGTCGTCTCCTTGTTTTTCCATCTCCCAAAGTGTTTATCTTCTCTTTCATCTGTTTTTCTTTTTGATCTTCAGGTTCCTTCTTTTCATTTTCATTTTCATTTTATTAAATTTATACCCCGCCCTTCTCCCGTAGGACTCAGGGCGGCTTACAGCCAGTTAAAAACAATTTAATACAATACAATGGAAGTTTTAAAAATCATTAAAAATAAATATATAATCAGCCGCTACTACTAAAATTTGGCTAAAACCAATTTAAAATACCCCTAGGCCAGTCCTGCCCGCTGGAACAACCAGGTCTTAAGGGCGCGGCGGAAGGAGGGGAGATCTGGAATGACCCATAAAAATTCATAAAAAAAAGTCCTTTCCTTTTTCTCTATTATCAATTTCTTTTCTGTATCTTCCATTATCTATATTTGTTGAGTGGTTGAATCTTCTATCATAGCATTTGATTGTTCCACTTTCTCTGTAGAATTCTGTATAGATCTGTGGTGGCGAACCTATGGCATGTGCGCTGTCGCCCCAGTGCTAGGGCTTCAGCTGGGTTTTATAAAACCTTTTTGCTTTAGGCCTCTGCCGCCGTGTGCAAAAAAAAAAAAAGGTTCAATCATTCAATCAATTTCAACTTCTTGCAGGAAAAAAAAAGATCTCGCAAAGTTGGAACTGATTGATTGAACTTTTTAGTCCCACCCAGTCTGCCGTTACAACCGCAGCCACACCCACCCAATGGGCCACACCCACCTGGCACCCAACAATACATAAGTGAGTTTTGGGTTGCAGTTTGGGCACTCGGTCTCTAAAAGGTTCGCCATCACTGGTATAGATGATTCTTTGGTTGAAGTCATAATCTGTGTTTGCATATCCAGGCTGCTTTCTTGTTTTTTCCTGCCTTTTCTTATTTCATCACCAATTGTAAGAAAAGTTTGGGCAATCGCTTTTAACATGCAAAGAGTTTGTTCCTGTTCTTCCGCTGTTCCTGTTCTTCTTCCATTGTAGTATATTAAATTGAAAGCTTATAGTCAAAAAGTCCACTAAGTGAAGAGCAGAGCTGAGCTTCTTGCAGCTGGTGTTTCAAGGTTGCTTATATCTTATCTATTTTCTAAGCCAGTGNCGCCTGCGCTCTTCACACGCCTCCTGCAGGGCATGTTTGGTAAAGTTCCTGCATGCAGGCTGCCGCCAAGCAGAGGGAGTAGCACAGCTAAGGAAAAGGGTAAAAAAAAATGGCGGACGGCGTTGTTTGGCGACCCCTGTGAAATGGTCGTGCGACCCCAAATGGGGTCGCGACCCACAGGTTGAGAACCGCTGTTCTAAGCTGTCAACAAGTCTCTCTTAGGCAGTAACAAGTTGAAATCTCAAGTTTAGCCACCAGGTGTCACTCCAGAGTTGTTTTGATCTTTTCAGTTTTTTTCTTTTATTTTAAAAGAAAAAACCCATATCTTCAGTAAAAATAGCAAATTCGAGAAAAATAAAGAATAGAAAATTACAAATCTTGTAATCCATCAATTTTAGGAAGTAGAGTTCCAAGTAGGATCCCAGTATTTTTTCAATGTTTTAAGCTCCCCTGGTAGTCAGTCTCCGCTGTTTCTGGAGGGAGGGCTGAAATCCCCCTTCTCTCTCTACAGGGGGGAAAGTACTTTAGCAGCTTGAATAGGTACAAAAAAGCAATTAGGATTTAAGAGAGGTAGATCTCTTAAATTGTATCTTTTTTCATGCTCAGCCCCAACTTCCTTTGACTGGTTCAGGTGACATTTTTCCTTTGTTTTCTTAATGACTTTATTTCTTATCTATTTTCCTGAAGGGATCTTTCAGTAAGATTCCTGGCTTTTGATTTTTCTGCTTTTGCACCTGCTTTATCTTTAGTTACGGCAGCTTCAGCCTAATCTCACAAGTCAGCATAGCTGACTCAGGAATTCTGGGAGTTGAAGTCCATGAGTCATAAAAGAGCCGAGGTTGCCTACCCCTGGCCTAGTACCTGCAAGCTGCAAGGGATTGGATGGGGAAGAACCAGTTTCAACTTAGCCCTAGCAAGTGGGTCTGGATTTTTGGGATCCCTGATTCCAGGAATGTGTCATTTTGATTCTTGCCAGGCTAGTGTTCCACCAGTCACAGCTGGTGCACAATTTGGGGCTATTCGGGGACTTGTAACTTCTGCTTGAGGAAAGGTGGTAGTCCTGGCAATGGGGGCCTTTAGACAGATCCATCTCATACACCAATTGCAGTCATTCCTGGACTGGATAGTTTGCTCACAGTAACTCAAACTCTGGTCATTTCCCAGTTGAATTACAGCAATGGCTCTACATGGGAATGCCCTTGAAGTTCATCTGGAAATTACAACTAGTCCAGAATGTGATGGTATTTGCAGTTCTAGATGTCTCACATTTTGTCCACATTTCACTACTATTGCATTATTATTATTATTATTATTATTTTAATTTCTATACCGCCCTTCTCCCGCAGGACTCAGGGCGGTGCACAGCATATTAAAAACAGATACAATAACAATATACAAAAATAAAACCCTTCTAAAACCAAATTAAAAACCAAATATTAGAGGCTGTGTTCCAATTAAAATTATACTTAAAATCGTCCCTAAATAAAATCCNTGTAAGAAAAGTTTGGGCAATCGCTTTTAACATGCAAAGAGTTTGTTCCTGTTCTTCCGCTGTTCCTGTTCTTCTTCCATTGTAGTATATTAAATTGAAAGCTTATAGTCAAAAAGTCCACTAAGTGAAGAGCAGAGCTGAGCTTCTTGCAGCTGGTGTTTCAAGGTTGCTTATATCTTATCTATTTTCTAAGCCAGTGATGGCGAACCTTTTAGAGACCAAGTGCCCAAAGTGCAACCCAAAACCCACTTATGCATCGTTGGGTGCCAGGTGGGTGTGGCCCATTGGGTGGGCGTGGCTGCGGTGGTAACAGCAGACTGGGTGGGACTAAAAAGTTCAATCAATCAATTCCAACTTTGCAAGATCTTTTTTTTTCCCGCGAGAAGTTGAAATTGACTGATTGAACCTTTTTTTTTGTACACAGCGGCAGAGGCCTAAAGCAAAAAGGTTTTATAAAACCCAGCTGAAGGCCTAGGACTAGGGCGACGGCGTGCGTGCCCACAGAGAGGGCTCTGAGTGCCGCCTCTGGCACCCGTGCCATAGGTTCGCCACCACTGTTCTAAGCTGTCAACAAGTCTCTCTTAGGCAGTAACAAGTTGAAATCTCAAGTTTAGCCACCAGGTGTCACTCCAGAGTTGTTTTGATCTTTTCAGTTTTTTTCTTTTATTTTAAAAGAAAAAACCCATATCTTCAGTAAAAATAGCAAATTCGAGAAAAATAAAGAATAGAAAATTACAAATCTTGTAATCCATCAATTTTAGGAAGTAGAGTTCCAATTAGGATCCCAGTATTTTTTCAATGTTTTAAGCTCCCCTGGGTAGTCAGTCGCCGCTGTTTCTGTTTCTGGAGGGCTGAAATCCCCCTTCTCTCTCTACAGGAGGGAAAGTACTTTAGCAGCTTGAATAGGTACAAAAAAGCAATTGGGATTTAAGAGAGGTAGATCTCACCCAGTCCTTTCCATGCTGCTTTGAAGTTACCAGATGGTGAGTGTGGTTTCGGCTGTCTGCAGCCTAGTGACGAGCCATATTTCTATGGCCGGTCTTTCGTCCGCTGGTTTGGAGGGATTGCCGGCTCCAGCAGGAGAGCTACCACTCTCCCACGATCCAGCAAGAGCCTCTCCTTGCTGGTCACCTCTACGGGGCAACTTTCAACCCTTTTCAGGGGCCCCCAGTGATGCGAAACTGGACAGGGAAGACGAAAGTCATCTTTTGAGCATCTATGGCAGCCGTGTGGCAAACCGGAAGCCTCACTGTGAAGAATATTCTCAGCATCTGTTAGATAAAATTGCTTGACTTTTCTTAGAGTTAGATGCTAACTGGGGAGATTTTTTGAAAGTAATTAGGACAGTTGAGCCAATTAATGCAAAAGAATTGAACAGAATCCTTGGGGCTGTAAGCTCTACCACCTATATTTTGGACCGGTGCTCCTTCCTGCTTTGGTCTAGTGGTTAAGGCAGCAGGCTAGAAAACCAGGAACTAGTCTGGCCTTAGCCATGAAAGTGGCTGGCAACTTTGGGCCAGTCACTCTCACTCAGTCCAACCCACTTCACAGATTTGTTGTGGGGAAAATAGGACAAGGAAGGAACGCTAAGTATCACAAATGAAGG